TTCTTGATGCCCCACATTCCACAAACCAAAAAGGTGCAAATAAAAAAAATCATACTTGTTTGACCCTATGACCCTTGAATAGGTGCCACTTGCAACAAATTGTGCTAAATGTATTCTAATTTTGGCGCCATGAAGAATTGAAATGTTGTAAAAAGGACGCCTAAATTAGGGTATCTACGGTAATATAACTCAGAAAAAATAAAAAGTTTTTGATTACAATTTACACACATACCTGCCAATTTACCGGGCGTGATAGAAGCGTCTTTACAACCCTTATCATCGATGGTTGAGTCTGCCTGCATCTTTCGTGTCGTGACCGTTGGACTTGACGGAGTATTGATTTGGGTTTTACTCGTACCACACCATTTATAATCGGGATACGCTTTCAAAAACGCCGCTTTACACTAGAATGAAAAAAAACAAATGTATAATTATGATTAATTAGACTGCATTTTAGCTGAGAGAAACAGGATTTAGTACTTTCTGTAGTTATATAATAGCATTTATTCGTAAAATTTAGTAGTCAAAGAGATAATTTAGTTAGCCATATTCTCATAGTATGGTAAAATGATTCTACCAAATTTACGTACAAATATTCCCTTGGAATATTGAACAAAAATTGAACAATTGAATGAACACCAAATAAACAGATTTGCTACAGTCACTGGCACGGCTTAGTGGAAAATTTGGAAGTCAGAGCGACTCCTAAAGACTAAGCATTTAGAAGTAGCCAGTCTAACAAGAAGCCCAGGCAGTATTTAAAATCAAAGAAACCTTAGAAAGAATATTTTCTGAGCGTATTGGAGACATATATTAAAAATTAATTCAAAATTTAAGATTAGCCTTTCACACAAGAAGCTTGGCAACTAATATTTGTCCTCTATTTTAGATGCACAAGGTGAAAACAATATTCTAATACAAATAGAAAATGAATTTGTTTGTATATCTGTGGTTTGTAGTCCCTTTTATTCCAGAGCACAAGTTCTAGTGAAATCAGATTTTTTGAGATATGTTAAATTGGCCAATAGTAATTAGATAGTCAATATGAATGCTTTTCATTATACATGTTATATGATGATTAATTCTTAAACAAATCAGTGAAAAACATAAAATTAATTATTATTATTATTAATTATACAGATATATATACTACAGTGTATAAACCAAAAACTAACAAGCCATGCATGGCACAGTCCCTGTTAGTTATCAAATTTAAGATATATAGTTTTGTTTATAGTAATATAGCTGGAATATAACCATGTCAGGAATATGATTATTGTTTAACATTAAAATGATTGACATTTTTATCTGATCGTCAAACTCGTACATGTCCACAATGAGAAAATCAGCCATTTTGAATACATGTATTTATCTATAACATGATCACGATGTATAATGAATATATAAAATTTGAACATAATCAGCCAAAGGAAGTTAGTCAGAGATATGGCACTAGAACCACTTTTATTAAAACAAAATGGCTGCCAGTCGGCCATTTTGAATCTCATCTGAAAAACAAAATGATGTGCATCAAGGTCCTATAATGTCCAATGTATATACAAGGTTTGAACAAAATCCATCTGTAAACAGCCACGAATTGCTTAATTTTGATGATTTTTAGGTACAAAAACGGCTGCCATTCGGCCATCTTGAATCAGATCATGAAACAAATTGGTGTGCTTATTTAATATCATGTATGATGTATGTGTGAAGTTTGATTGTGATTGGTCCAGGCATTTCTAAGATACAGGTCCAGACTCACGGAAGCACGAAGGTCAAAATATAATTAGGTCTTCACGTTAAAGTATTTATGTATAAAAATTCTTTGAAATAAGATGATAAGTACTTGAAATACTGATGGGAAAACTGATAACTGATTATCATGCAAATCAGGTAATTAATTAATATTTGCAAAATTTAACATAAAACAAATAGCATCAGAACAATGAGACAGGTCTATCCATGTACCATTGAAATGTAATTAGAACTTTAGATATCAATGAAAAAGCCCAAAAAAGAATTATTAAATTAGGTAATTAATATGCAAGGATTTTTACCCAAAACTAAACAGGTCTTCGCATTGTCCCAGAGAAACTATGTTCAGACATAGGAACAGACATACGTACGTGTACGTACATAGAGACAGACAGGGTAACCACAAAGACTCCCATTGTGTGCTTTGCACAGAGGAGCCAATGACACTATCATCAAATCTGCACAATGTGCTTCGGGAATGCTTACACAATGATTGCTGCAGAAAGCCTGTTGCAGATTCACAGGAAATCTATACAAGCAGCCTGTCAGCTGAGATAGCTCCGCTGTTAGCAATGCACATTTCAATTAAAGAACAGAAGATATCATTAGAAAATGAACAATATGTATAGTATCAAAGCAACAGGACTTACTTTTTTCAACAAAAATTCAAAAATATCACTTTTCACCAAAAATAATCATCAAAATTAGATAATTGAAGATATCATCACGCAGTTAAAAAAATCTGAAAGAGGTCCACATGTAGTACCTATATATGTAATATCAAAGCAATTGGACTTGCGGTTTTTATCAAGAAGTCAAAAATATCACTTTTTACCAAAAATATTCACCAAAATTAGAGAATTTAAGATATCATTACAAAATGAACAAATCTGAGAGAGGTGCACATTTAGTACCTATATATGTAATATCAAAGCAATTGGACTTGCGGTTTTTAACAAGAAGTCGAAAATATCACTTTTTACCAAAAATGACAAAAATATTCACCAAAATTAGAGAATTGAAGATATCATTACAAAATGAACAAATCTGAGAGAGGTCCACATGTAGTACCTATATATGTAATATCAAAGCAATTGGACTTGCGGTTTTACAGAAGTCAAAAATATCACTTT